CCACTCAGGAGTCACAAACGCGTTGCCGGCCTTTTAGGAAGCAGTACGATTTTTTCTTGAAGGTTTGAAGGTCGTATCGGTCTGGAAATACCGCAGACGATTACCCGTTCCACAGATTGGTTGTGCGGGGCAAAAGGTGTTTCGAAAAGCGTACAGTAGTGGAGCGCCAACTATCCAGGTAATGAGGATGAAAATTTTGCCGTGTGGAACTATGGCGGAAATTTGCGGCTGGTATTAGTCCGAACAATCCCTCGGAGCACTCTCCATATGCGATAGAGAATGCAGAGTGAAGCCACATCTCTACGTAACGCCAAGGGATCGAGCCGATCGGAGATGTTTGGGCTATCGACGATTCGAGTCGTTCTTCGTTGGATGCGGTCCAGAGGGAGAAGCTCTATGCAGGGGCACCTCAATGCCCCTGCATAGAGATGAGAACAGTATTCCATATGCAGCCAGCCTTGCGCCTTATAGAGCTGAAAGCGGTGGGCCGGAGTAAAATACTGCCTCGATCTGTTCAGCACACCGAGCTTCTTCAAGGACTATTTGACCTTACCCTCAAGTTACCCCGAAACTGGACTTCGCTTGATATGGCGATGCCTAGGATTCCGATGCTGGCTGAGGCAGTTAGGGAGGTGCTCTCAAGCTGAGGTGATACAACAAATGGGATCTTTTTTGCGGTGAACGCACAGACCTGTGTCTTTTTTGGGTTAAACTGGAAAGGGCATCTCCTGTGCTGTCATTACAATTAAATTAAATGTACAATTACGTAAAAAATAAACAAATATTTTTAATAGTTACTGTATATATATATAAATATAATATTATCATATGACTTAATATTTTTGTACTATTTATTTATTTAATTACAGATATTCTTCCTCTGTGTCAACACAATTTGTCAATGTTTAGGCTATGTGCAACTTCTGCACGAGGTTCACGAATTTCGTTTTTCCACGGTAAGTATTAATGTAAATATTTATACGTAAAATATTTATAGTAATTAAAAATATATCCTAACACTATTTATTTACGACAATTTTAGATTAAAGAGATTCTTGGATTGATTACGACAATACTTTTGGTGATGAAGAATGTTTTTCTGGTCATACTATTTTGTACGCAATGTGAGAAACTCTACATTACGATTGAGAACGTAGAAAGTGCCTGCAGGATGCAGATGATGGTCGAACATTGCCCAGGTATATGAATTACATTTTTTCTTAAAATTTGAGGGGTTGCGATTAGTGGATTAGATCTGGGCTCTTTTTGCTTAACTTCGCAATTTTAAAACAGTTAAAGAAAATTCGTAATTTTTCAAGGTTTTACAAAATAGTGTCATGTCATGTCCTTTAAACTAAAAAAAAACAATATTTCAAAGACAGATGATTAATTTGGAATAACTGCAGTCACAATGTAGTATCAATTTGACCAGAGTAAACCTTAATGCCTTTATTTCCTTTCTATTTTAACAGAAAACAGAAGACGACTGTGCAAGAATCTGATACGCCTTAACCGTAACTCGTTCAGTAAGATAAGAGCGTGCGGCTTGTTCAACGTGGAAGCTGCACTGCCGCTTACTCTGCTGTTGCAAACTTCTAATTATTTGATTGTACTACTGCAATTTCTTATACTGTAATATGTGATTGTATTCTGTATCTATTGTATTCTTAAATGGTATTCCAAAAAATTACGTTATTTGTTTAAATTAATGCGCCATGTTTATTTTTTACTATTTAAAAAATTGTACGTTCGATATTGTCGCAAACGATAGTTGCATTTTAGTTTAAAAATATTTTTAAAATGAACACTAACATCTCATCTTTCGGAAAAAATTGTATGTAAAATGTTTGGATTTCATCGTCATGTAGTATAAATATCTATCTGTACCTAAGAATTACAGTCAATCTGATTCTTACTTTGTATCTTTGTAAAATCCCCCACATCGAAACCATAACATATAAAAAAAGAACACAAGACTATAAATTTTCCCTAAAAACGGAAGAAAAGTTTTGAATATACTGTTGAGTAATACTAATCAGCGAAGAGCTTTCATTACACTTTAAACATCAGTAATTAAAAGGTTAGGAGTAAATCTTTTTTTGAGAGTACCTCCCGTGTCCTCCCGTCCAAGATACCAAGATCCAAGATTCCAAGGGTAGAAAATAATGTAATAAATTAATTACAATACATCATGACGCAGGCGCATTCACGCCTGCACTTTTGGTGTGTGTGTGCGTGTGTGTGTGTGTGTGTGCACAGTGAGCAAGTGACGGTGGCACTTTTCAAAAAGTTTCTTAGGTTAGGTACATGTAACTGCCGCCACATAACCAAATAGTCGTACCACCACATATAACAAGTATATCTAACAACTTTTTACGAGCAATGCCTTTATACATACATATATCCTTAAATTTATTTTGTGTATATCAGAAACAGCTTAAATGGTTATGTATATTTCTTTTTTTTTTATACTCCTGGAGGAGTTTGGTCGTCAAAATTTTCTTATTGAATACACGAGTAGTACCAGGATACTCAATTACTCAGAAATATTTCACATCTAGCTACGTATATAAAATTGAAAAGAGTGAGATTCTGTCGCGACTACTATGACTATACCTGGAAAAGAAATCGAAGTCGAAGAGAGCATGTTCATAGTACAACAGGCTTATTTACTTAGGTAGCATTCGGTTCTTCGAGACCGCGACTCGCGACCGGTGGTCGTGGCTAGATAGCGGTGTGATGACCGCGACCCGGCCACACCGGAAGCAGTGGACTCACGCGACGCAGGTGAGAAGCACATCAAAATGGCGGTGTTTTTACCGAAAGAGGACGAGAAATTGATTGAATTGATAAATATAAAGCAACTCTTTTCTTCTCGTGATGTGAAAATTGATTCAATTTTTATTCTTTTTTCCGGAGACGTAGATAATAACATAATATCATCATCGTCCTCATCCTTCAAGAGCTACTAAATATTTTTTTCCCTAGATAATGTAAATTTTTGCGACATATCGCAAAGGATATTGTCACGAATAACAACTGCGGGAATCGTGGCGATATCGGAAAGCTAATGGCTCGCCCCGCGACCAACTACCACGGTCGCGAAGTCGAATGGTCGCTAAGAACCGAATGCTACCATTTGGTATAGCTGTGCCCCAACTGGATTTCTATTCCAACATTGAACAAATTTTACACATAACTGGGAAGTGTCGAGGCAAATGTCGATGATTATGCCCTAATAAGTCGTAGGACTGTTCATAAAATATCGATATTATTCACATCACATCATCACATCAACAGCCTTTAACAGTCCACTGCTGGACATAGGCCTCTCCTTAGAAAGGAGGCTTTGGCCTACTATACCACGCTGGCCAGACGGGTTGGTATAGGGTTTGTATCAAGTTTTCCTTCTCTCTGCAGTGCTGTTGTCCTGCGTAGTTCGCTCCCTTAGTCGCCTCTTACGACACCCACGGGATGAATAGGGGTGATGACACTCTGTATTCTTAATCCGTCACCACACGGAATAGTTCGATATAATTTTATTTTCTCCGTATATATATTTAAACTACAAGATTATCGTAAACTAAAACTTCTGTACTTTATTTATACTATATTACTAGCTGGTGCCCGCGACTTCGTTCGCTTGGAATTTGAAAAGCGCTGCCTAAGTTCGAGTTCGATTCCCGGACCGAGAAATATTTATAGGGTTTTTCTGGGACAAAAAATTAGCCCAAGTTACTCCTTATGTAACAGCTATCGGGTAGTAAAATATTATAAAAATCGGTCTAGCCGTCTTGAAGATTACCCGGCACAAACAGACAGACAGACAGACAAAAACATTTAAACTGATTTTTAGGCATAGGTAGTGTGCCAATAACCATATTATGTTTATTTCTTTATTGTTTTAAATAAAAATATAATTTCGTCTTTTATTGTCTAATAATCGTAGTAGTCAAACAGCTAAGCATATAAAACATCTAGTATTATTAGAAACTTACCGAAAAATATTGGTATCCATAATTGTGTTATTTAAATTAAACATTAATTACTAAAAACTATAACTTAACTATATATACATTTAATTTGTTTAACAAATATACTTACTGAATTATAAACAGAACAAATTATTTTAGAGCTGACACTATTGCTTTTTTTTTTAAATAAAACGAAATATCGATTTTTCTCCATATTTCAAACTACTAAATTGATATATTTAAAAATATCAATGTTTAAATGGTCCAAAAAGACTTAAAAACACTGTAAACTAAGTTTTACAAGTAATAATAATAAATTATCAGTCTACAAACGCACATAATTTAAAAATAAGTGGGTACATATGTATAAACAAACATTAACAATGTATTACAGATCCCCAGGCTCTCATTTCAGATGGTTAAGCATAAAATCCTAAATAGAACACCAAATTAATAAAAAGTTTTCACAAGTGTTAAAACGAACTTTAAATAAAACCCGAGTTCCATGTCCCCAGATTAACAGCCCCAGTACAAAGACCTGATGACGGCTTACTGTGTAGCTTTAGTCGGTTCAGTTCCGACTACCGACCTTACTCTATGGCTCCGGTGAGGTGAAGCAATGGAGGTAAGGAGAGAAAAAAGCTAAAGAACACAATATTTTTTTATGAAAGTGTCACTCGTAAGCCCTTAAATCAAAGAGGCACCTATTGTAGCTCATGGTGGGTAATAAAAAAAAACCGCCAAAAATTATTAGTTAAAAAAGTAATCCAAAAGAACAAACTTCCGTGTTTCCGCCAAATTATGATATATTATGCCTTTTTAAAAATTATCAACATCAAATTATTTTAAAACTGCCTAAACTCTTTGAACTGAGGTACGCAAAACATAAATATTTCAATTGAGCTCACGGGTATAACTGCTAACTTTAAAGCATTCTTTAACTTATCTTATTTTTCTGCTGTCTTCTGCTGTACAACCCTTTTCAGCATGCCTTCTATACTTTATTAAATAATTAAATAATTGCACTTACTTGCCCCTAGCCTCATCTAAATACAGCTCGGCACTCCGTCTGTCCCGAGGATTTCGCTCCGTCATGGAATGCAACAACGACTTCAGCTGCGGATCATCAATGGTCAGGGTCATGGTAGCAGGTCGTTCTTCACCGTTACGATACGCCAATAAGCCTGGTAGGTCCAAAGCTGGTGTTCCATCATTCCAAAGTTCTAGCAGGGCACAGCTATAAGGCAAGAAAACGCATAATGGAATACTGGTTCAGGAATGGGGTTTAGTGTTCCTTTAATTACCATAAATGGAGGAATAAGAAGGAAGATATTAATACATGAGGAATAGATGCTTAATTGTTTTAAAGTAATTCAAATAAAAATATCGACTAGTTGTTCCTCACAATTCACCTGATGGTGACTGCCTAAGGCTCGTATCACGATGTTACGCAGACTATAACTCTGTCACTGAATACTCTATCCTATACAAAAACAACTATTCAAATCTGATAGTTCTAAAGACTAGCATTTTAATTTAAAAAAGAAACGATTAATGTATATTCTATAAGCATAGAAATATAGATAAGGAGGGTAGTCATCATATTAGTTAAAGAATAAAAAATATTACATTGTTTATTACCGTCTGCCCTCTGGTAGTAGGCCAAAACCTTCTTTCTAAGGAGAGGCCTATGTCCAACAGTAGACTGGTAAAGGCTGTTGATGATGATTACCCTCTGCCTGTAGTAACCTTAAGTCTACTAGTAAACTCTCCTAAGCGGCTGGACCGGTTTTGATGATTTTTTTTGTGTGTTCAATAGAATTCGAGAATGGTTTAAATTCACAATTTTTTAGTTTAAGACCTGTGTACAGGACAACGTCGATCGGGTCCGCTAGTATATTTAATATAACAGCTTACCCAGCCGAGAATATATCCATGCTAGGCACCAATTCACCCACTTTACACGGTGACTCACTCAATAGTAGACCGCCAGTTTTGTCATCACTCTGTAAATAAAACTTTCTTTCATTTTACATGTAGCGTTAGGTGAAACAACATATTTGCTTCAGACTCATACACATACCATACATCATCATCATCATCCTTTAATACGTTTAACAGTCTATAAACCTACTACTCTGTCAAGAAAGTACCGGGAAAAGATCATAACAAGACTCGTAAGATACAGAAAGTTCGGTGGCTATCTCTCTCAAAGTTAAATGAGGATTTTCAGTCACTATTTCCTTCACTTTTGCGATGTTAACTTCAGTTGCAGACGTTGATAGCCTACCAGAGCTAGGCAAATCTTCCATCACATCTCGACCGCTTTTGAACGCTTTGTACCACTCAAGCACGTGTTTTTGATAAAGTCGATTCACCATAAGCCATCTGTAACATTTTCAGTGACTGCGAACACGCAATTCAATTGGCGATGCAAAATTTAAGACAAACTCTTTGTTCGATGTTTTTGTCCATTATGAAATTTGCATTACACACTAGATATGATATAACTAAAAACAGCACTGTATTTAATATAAATAACGCGGCGCGGAGTTTGGAAATCATCCATTCCCGATACTTTTTTGACTGAATGTATGTCCTTTCTAGGTAAAGCAGCCATCTAAAGCATACAGAATTATTTAAATCCGTTCAGTAGTCCCTAAGTATATTGAGTATGGACAAACAAATGATTATTCTTTATTTAGTACTTACCGCTGGTCTATTATGAGGATCAGGTGCTCCAACAAATCTTTCAGGGGCAACGTAGCACAGCCGCCTTCGTGATGTGTCGAAGAAGTAACTGAAGTCCGCTGGATTATCATCAGGCAAGAAAGTCGGTTTGAAGGAAGCTATGTCTGTGAGGAGTACCCATAGCCAAGAGGTGACCATTATATTTTCTAACTGTAAACAATAAAATGATTTAAACTTTATTATATTCTTTATGTATCTATACAGAATTACTGATTAACGATCTAGATACTTTAGAGGGTTTAGTTGCCATCATTACTGATAGATTTCACTAAGAAATACCATATCCCAAACCTAACATTTTTAAGAAAATTGTCAAAATTTGGACTATTACAATTTTTCTTTTTGGAACTTTTTTTTTATTTTTGTGTAGTGATATATATTTTTAAAATTTTCATTACCAAAATTGTAGTTAACTTAACAAACTGGGTCGTAGTAGATGGTTGATAACATTAAAATTAAATAGATTTATAAAAAAAAAAACTTTGAGCAATAAAAACAACTATGACAGTTAAATGGCAGATGGGTTTATCAAGTAACATGTACGTATTATCAAGTATCTAACAAGGCACAACAGTCTAGGATCAGGATTCATGAAAAAAACTTATATGAATGAAAGCCATAGTCTTAGGAATTAGGGTATAACCCAGTAAAAACTTTGCTTGTGTTTTTGAACTGTTTTCTTTTCTATTGGTGTCTAACAATTGATACCTGGACTTTAATTTGTGCTTTGGATACTGTTGAAGACAAATGAGGAATATTCTGATTTGTGACGGGTACTGCCAATGCGTATCTCTATTCAAGGAGACCCTTTAAAGAGGTTTGATTATAGCAGAAAAAAGCTTACTGCAAATTTTAGAAGACAGATAAGTCCAAATTTGATCAAAACAGTACAAACAGTATTGATCATTGGGCACCAAAAGCACTGATAAATCCTACTAATACGTGAATATAGAGGGCTAGAATATCTTGCTCATATTATGACATAGTTTGTATCAAAACAACAAGGTTGTTGAATTTTTATTAATATAAATAAAAAAAGAAAAGGTAGAACTATTCAAGATTCATTTAGGAGTTGACCTATTCAGAGTTTAAACAGTTATATGTGAAATATAATACAATACCATATTATGATAAAATAGGCAGATTTGCATACAATTTAGGCACTTGAATCTTTACAAATTTAAATCTCGAAATGTATCATATACCCAAGGTATACGGTACATTTTTGTATGTATGGTTAATTTTTAGTAAGAACATTTCTGCTCGAATTGAATGAAATTGGTATATTGTGCATATCCAACAACTCTACATAACAGAACACTTCCATAAGACAGTGCTGCATACTTTTTTGCGAGGTTAACTTGATAAAAAACATATATTCTTTTTGTTCTTGCAAATGACTAACTGCTTACCAACAGCTAAGCTGGCAGGCACATATTTTTTTAATTATTTTCTAGATAATGCATATTTAGTACCTTTATATCACCATGACAAATTCCAAGTTTGTGCATTCGATGTAAAGCATATAAAACTTGAAAGGTTATCCATTTCTTTTCTAGCACTGTTAGGAATGGTCTTGTAGACATTCGGTCATACACACTGCATTTGCAGTACTCTCTCATTAAAAGTCCAGCCTTGTCTGTTAGCTGGAAATAAGAGTGTGATTACAGGAATTTAATAATTAATAAATTTTTATATTTATGGGCTCTATGTATGTATAGAATCAACACAAAAAGTCAAACACTATTAATTATTTTTGTAAATAAAACTAAAAACATTACAGAATCTGTAAAAAAGACAACTCTATTAGGAATGTATCCTGTGTTGCGGGGGACTTTACAAACATACGTGAAACGGACACAAAGAACACCCAGACTCAGAACAACAATTGTAGATCACTCAAAGTGTCGTCCCATATGGGAATCGAACCCACAACACTAAGCGTAGGAGGAAGCGGCATGGCGACCGCTTAAACCACTACCCCATCCGTGCATTCCAAAACGTTTTTGTTTCTCACAACTTGCTATTAATCCAATTACATTCAACAAAGTTCTCTAGCCATTAATATAATATATTTGAGATATCATGCACCGGTCATTAAATTATATTCATTTTAATCAGATACTTACAATAACCCTTTGAAATGGTAAACAATTGAATGCAGATGCTAGCTGCTCCTTAATCTTGAGTATCCTCTCTTTGTGTTCAGCTAAAGGTAACGATGGGTCATGTACTGCAAATACTTTAACAACAACAAGACCTTCTTGGGAACGAGCTCGAGCTACCTTTAAGAACCTTGTAGAGCCAAGGCTGGAAGGGAAAAATAAATATATGAAAGTGGATATTGGACGATCTGAAAGATTAAAAACGTTTGTGAATGGTAAAGTTATGTAGTTATTAAAGTTGCCAGACTAGTTATGGGCCAATTAGAAGCCTATATTTTAGAAGTGAAACAGCCCACTATAGTGGTTTTACCCACATAACATGTTTAGAAGTTACTCCCACACATGAGAATAAATTCTTCTATAGATTTGATTATGTTAAAATTGTATTTTTCTGTGTGGTGACCGGTTAAGAATACAGAGTATCACCACCCTTATTCATCTCATGGGTGTTGTAAGATCTGACTAATGGAGCAAGCATTAAAATAACACTGCAAAGAGTAGGAAAACTTGATGCAAACCCTATACCAAACCGTCTGGTCAGTGTGGTACAGTAGGCCAAAACCTCATTTCTAAGGAGAGGCCTATGTGCAGCAGTGAACTGCTGAAGGCTGTCGATCATCACGACGAAATTCTATTTGTAATTTTCATAATCTTCTAACCGGTTCTATTTGGTTAATTAATTAGTTGTTTTAACTATATTAATGTGGTAAAACAACTAACACCATAATATGAAATGACCATGACAGGCTGTCAGTGAATACCAGGGAGCCCATGACATGATGTGACATTGTGTGACAAGGCAATAGGAGAGGGTCTTAAGTTTCATGACGTCATTTTTCAAACCATATCTCAGGATTAAAATGTGAAATTTAATTTGAAACAATTATATAATTCATTGATTTCTGTTTTAATAATTTTTTTCAAATGTTTGATCTGAAGTCAAAAGTCTTTGATTAATTTATGGATGGTGCTAAGTGTCAATATGGCTACCCACTAACCATGAAGACTGCATAGTTGCAAAAGTAACATATGATGTAATGAAAATTTAGTTTAATTCGCTAAGTAATGTAAAGTAAAAAATTACTTTAAACTTAAGATGAAAATCACATTAAATGTTTTATACAGTTAAATCCACTATTTTCTGTGATTATTTGATAAAAGCAGATTAAAAAAAGTTAGGGTAGTTTTACCATTAGCACTTTATATATCATATTATGTTTATATGCATTGATAATAGGTTTTTTTTTTGTAGAATATGTAAAAAAATACTAAAAGTAGATATGTATATCCCGTCAAAGCCCTGCAACACATAGTGAAAGCTGTGTTTGAATCAGGTCTAGCTACTGTGTGACAGCCCAGAATATTATTATTGGTAACTTATAAATCAGCTTCAGTATTTTTAGAAAATGCTGAAGCAAATACCCTACACTCAACATAAATTGGTACAACTGAACATATTTTTTTTTGGCCAAATATCTTTAACAAAATGGCTAAAGTAAAAAAACGAAATCAGTATTCAGAAGGTATTTAATAATTTTACATCTTACCTCTGATCAAATGTTAGATCAGCATGATCGCTTAAATAATGTTCTACAGGGTATATTTGAGAGGGAGCAACGCCAACGAGCTGGTTACCCATTGTTTAATTTAATTTTAACTAAATTTCAAATGCGTTATACACAACACAATTTATATTGTTGTTAATGACTTTAAAAGCTCTAGTGAATTTTCATATATAAAAACACCGTATTTTTATTAAGTCAAATTTTTTCGATCCAATACAATCAATCTGAACACAACAATTAAAAGTTATTTTTTATCAAAACAAAGCAAATTTTGCTATTTTGACTAGTTACAGACAGTGTTGCCAATAGTTTAGTTAGCTCTCCACTAGATTTAAAATCTAAAACCACTAACGAAAAACGGCCCTACTCTAACAATCGCAAAATATGCCACTAAACATTTTTTAAGTTATTATGAACGAAAACAATTATTATATTAATAATTACTTTCCCCTATCATTATGTGATACTAACAATAAAAAATTAATATACAAATATAAAATCAACCAGTCAAGATCAGAAACAAAAAATATTCAATAATAACAGTTACTTACTTTAAATGGATTCGTTTTCTGTTTTTGTTGTTGTCACCATCATCGCCGGTTTCAGATTGATACGAGAGATGCAATTCTTTATTACCGATTTGTTTTACAACGTTTATTTGAATTTCATATACGTTCCAGCATTTTCCTTCCAACCTCAAACCAAACATCTTTTTTTACGCTTAAATCTTTTAAAGTAATCAAGACATTTTAATGCGGTTTACACCAATAAAGATAGTGATTCAAGAGGAAGGTTTATTATATGTATAATATATGCATATTATAGTATTCTGGAATGGTATCCGTCTATCTCCTAAGGATAACCCACAGTAACCATTTTTATCTTTTAAATATTACCAAAATATAATGGATTATTTACAATATACATTAACAATAGATTATTATTCATTATCTAGTAAAATACGTTGTACGTTTAATGTAGATTATAATCCTCTTTACAGCATATGAATAAAATTAATATTTTTAAAAGATGTTAGAGGTTTCAAATGCGGGGGCCTGACGGCCGTTGAGCCGTACGTCCGTTCCGGGTGGCAGTGGCAGGATCGGAGCTGGCCTATAAATATTGCATTTAAAGATGTCCTATAGTCTTATCATAATAATAATTAATTACTCCACACTGACACCACATTAGTAGTATTAGTAGCCGGGGCGGATTGTTAGTAGTAGATAAGAGCTTTAACTCAATTCGATGCGTCTGTTTGGTTTTATTACATTCTTACTGCTAAATAGTCCCCGGGCATTGGAATAATTCCTCAAATCTTGAATTCTCTTGGGCATCTTTGAAATGCAATACTTCCTTCCTTCCTTTCTTAGAATTAATAGACAACAATGGACCGCGTTTCGAACGCATATTGTTTTGAATGATTTCAATCTTCATTTCTTATCTGCTACTCAACTGGATCATCAAGTCAAGCCAGCAGTACTTTATGAGGGCTCGCTAAGTTTTCTACCTAATAATAATTTCTAGGGCAGTTTTTTAAGAGAATTATGTTTTAATGCATGGATTATTAATATGCGCTTCTGAAAATAATTCATACGACATATCATTTTTTTCTTTTGAAATACTTGCAAAAAACAAAATATTTAGTTTCTTGTTATAACTTAAAGATAGTATTTAAATATTACCAAACTATAAAATGGTTCATAATTTTATTTGTGTATTAATACAAATAAAATTATGAACCAAGCAAGAATTAATATAAGTAAGAATAATCAAGAATTTTCAAAAATACCTATGACAATTAATGACAGAATGTCCATAATTTATGTTTCAACAACTAATTTTGTGATAAACAAAAATATTTAAAATTGCCATGAAAACAATAAAAAATGTATAAAAAACAGAGAAAACACTCAAGAACTAAGTGGGAACCGAATTCAGATCAATCACTCGACTATAAATAATAAAGATCATTACGCTACATAGCCAATAATAATATGCATCAAAAAAACATTAAAGCTTTTTTTCATTTTTAAGTAAACTCTCCCAAATCTATTTTGTAAGCTCAAACTCTTTTACAAAACTAACTCAAAAAGAAAATTTTAAACTACGCTTTGGGCCCTCATTTCATGGTAGCTCGTAGTTTTTCAGGAATAAAAACTATGGTAGATGTTGACTATACTAGTATAGACTATATAAGTATAGATTGTTATAGATTGTTTTTCCGCTTCGTTAATAATATAATAATTATAATATTATAATTAGTAAAAATAGTAGATATAATACCTTTTTTATGATTGATAACACATCTAGACATGAATATAAATAACTATGTCAATGCCCAAACTTGAAAGTTTCTCAGTAAAAAGAACCACTAAAATGTATAGATTGTGGAATTTTGACCCTGATATCCCTGATAATCCTTCTCTTCTGAGCACTTTCTTCTCTCCAATCTCCTTCGTTTATTTCTTTTCAAGGGTTCTTGACGTTTGCGTACACAAACTGTTTTTGTAGATCAACTTTCAACATCATGTCCTAGGTTCTCTACAATCTCACTTTTATATTCTTATTTATTTTAAACTTTATGCACTTTTGTACATTGGCGGACTTAATGCCCAAGGCATCCCCTTCCAGTCAAGCTTTGGGTGGTGTAGAAATCATATATGAGAGGTGCACAGAGGTTACATATTATGAGATGTAATCTATTCTAATTTTACTACCAAGCCACTAGAAATCTACTCGTCTCTAAAGCAATATTTCGTCACTAACAGAGGGGTCGAAACCACCAGTTTTAGTGGAAACTCCACTAGGCTGGCAGCACTGGTTGCAGACAGTTGCAGATTATAGAGTCAGTGTTCTCGAACGTCAAAAGGCGAAAAATTGGTAGAGTTGCCATCAAATTACGGTAAATTTATACCTAAAATCAGTAGAAAAAAAAACTACATTGATGATTACAATTTATTGTTAAGACATGAAATAACTTGTTTTATTATAAAAAACATACAAAATAAGTCAATATATCACTACATAAACTTAATATACAGACATATTTAGTCACAAGTTTCAAACCTTTTGATAATTACACCAATTTTCGTAAGTCACATTTTAGTTAGCAGACATTTTTTTTATGATTGAGGAGACAAACGATCAGATGAATTACCTGATGAAAACTACGACTATCACCGCTCCTGAATAATAAATTTAAGAACTAATTTAAAAATCAGAACAATATTATCGTCACTCATTCATTGTTTTGTATGTATTTCATGTTGCAATTATAGTGCATCAGACCCACTGCGTCCCAGAACTATCATTATAATTGATCCTTTAGAAGCAAAGCATCGTCGACGAGTCGTTTAGCAGATGTGAAACATCGTAAATATTCTGTAAAAGAAATGAATATAAAAGCATAGCTTATGAAAGTAAATCGTAAACAGCACAATTAAAATCCAACATAATTCACCGCGAGGTCACGTTTATTCCTGTCTTATAAAATAATACGAAATGAAAATAGCTATGCAGGTGCAGGCACGCACACATATGACACATACAACACACACGTTAAAGCCACGATAGAGTAAGTTCAATAACTAATCGATATCGAAGCTTATGTGTACAGATCATAAAATCGATATGATTACAAAGTAAAGAAGTAGGTAGTTGCGTTTTATTAAAGAAAATTTTAGGAGCACATTGGTAGCTAACTTACTCTATTAGAAGTTTAATTTTCAAGTATTACTGGCGGTACTGAAACAGCAGGTAGAACACGCATAAGTAGACATAAATAACGCTTTTATGGAATTGTACTTCTTTAAATGACAATTTCACTGTTATCTAAAACCAATGCATCTTACATACTGAATATAATAGTAAATATATAAAGTAGATGAAATATCTATCATAAATAAATCAGTAACTCGTTAGGATTCAACATCGCTTACGAATTTGCTAACGACTCAATATTAAGCACACCGAGCTTTTTTATTACTAGCTTGGTTAGGAACTTTAGGGCCACAGTAAAAGGTTTTTTTATCAGTGAAGGTTGAGCTTCAGTGAGGTTAGTGTTTTGATGGAGTTGAACGGAACATTATTATTGACATACTTTAGGTAATTAAAATAACACTTACGATACTCATAATCTTCATTTCTTTTTGAATACAACTCTCAACAGTTTTTGGTTTTGACTAAGTAGCGCATATGCTGAGATATTGCACCGTGCCCGAGTTGACTTGAACTGAGGACGACACTTCGAGCTGCATCTCATCTCTCATCTCATCGTGTTGATTTAATTTATTGTTATTAAAACTGTACTTAAATAATAACCACTTAAAACATTGTGAAAAGGACAGACCTCGTATTTAAGTAGATCGGTACTAGAACTTAAATATCGTAAAAAAAATCTGTGTTAGTGTGAGATAAAAACTGTATTCGTTAATTTATGTAATGAAATTTGACCGTGATCTTCTGCAGTCCGAAGGTATTTAACCTTAGCTTAATTCTGCTGTTCTCTACCTCTTTATTATTTACCTCTTGATTTACTACATAGTAAATTGAAGCACCATCGTCACATGCGTGATATTTAAAGTTAATTAATCTATGGTTAACTTTAGGAAGTTAGAAAAAAATGAAGTTACAAAGGTAAGATTAATTATTTTTATGCAGGTAAATTGGATTGAACCATAGCTTGGATTCCATAATACTAAATGATGTATTTGGTTGCGATTCAGCTATTATTATCTATTAAGTTATGACACGAGCACCAACGACCTGAGTTTGTAGACACTTGGCAAGTAGGTACTTATGGTAACGCGCGAGCGTTCGTCAGCAGTACGCGCGCGAGTTACGTCACTGCAGCGATAGATTACGTTAGTACCTGTACATTGCGTATCGCAAAATAAAAAGAATCACTGTAAATCCTTTATCTTTCATTTTTATGATGAACTGACTTTTGAATCGTGATAAGTATCCCCAGAAAGACGTATACTATACGTATAAGTATACACTGAGTGTGCTTGGTGAAGAATTATGTTTTTAGTCAGCTTTTTCTTAATGTAATAATGGTATTCGATTACGACTTTAACGATTGTTATAATTTGTACCTTAAGAGCTTTCTTGCTCTTACACTCTGAAATAGTTCTCTATCAGACGACATTCTGATAAAAAAAACAGTGAATAATCAAAAGAACTGCCGTGTATTCTTAAAAATCTTGATGATTATTTCTGTTTCACGTAGAAGTGTTCTCATATCAGTAGAAATACCGATAATTTAGTAGGATAAGGCCATTGCATAAAGTATTTTATGCAAAGTTTATGGGTACTGCCATAGATAAAACACAAAAAATCCGGTACTGCAGACTTGACATTAAGCGACATTTGGGGCAAAATAATGATGAACATCATAAAAAAAAAGAAAGTATGAAAGAAGGCACACTAAAAGTAGTTATTTTGTTGCTTTATTAAAATATTTTTAAATTGTGTCTTCATTTTCAATTAATAGGAACCATCCGATTGTCTATTTAATCCACCATTTCAAAGAGAAAAGTGACAACACAACTCATCAAATCTGCTGTCAATTTAGTCTATGGTTTCTCTTTCCTTCAACAAACAAGTATTCCACCCATTTTACTGAATTTGTTATCTTTTCAAGAAATAACTCAAAGAAATGTCTTCTAAAAGTGAAAAAGATCGCGCCAAACAGATTCAGGACAGATGTCAGAATATATTAATACAAATGTTGAAGGATGAAGACAATAAATATTGTGTTGACTGCGATGCTAAAGGTACGCGGATTTTTTCTTTTTTTGAATAATTCTTAACTCTCTTAGGTGCGAGATTTAACTTGATTTTCGTTACATACTGATTGTACGACTGTTCTTTGTTACCTCACACTTTATTGCGAAAGTGGTTAGGGTCCTTGAACTCAATTTTTAAACATCACAAAATATTTGAATTAATCATTATTATTTCTAAGTAATTTTTACACTATCGCCTCTTTCTTCATTTGTACTATGATGTGTGTGCCGTATATTAAGCTGTCTTATAATTGATATTAATAATAGAAATGGACACTGACCTACTGATAAAATTATCCATGATTAAAAATGGTAGATAGAAGGGATACACTGTTAATTTCGTGTCCTTGTTTATTTTTACGTAATTAATTAATGTAAAATCAAATACCTCTATTGTTTCTACTATATGTATGCAAAATGGATGTGTTAATAGTTGTAAAAGAAGTTATCTGAACAATTGCATTTTACTGCAATAAGGAAAAGTAGTAAAATATCATAACTACTGCTGTAAAAACATGCAATAAGAACAATTAAAATATTTGTTTTCTAAAAGGTATATATGGTATAAAATAAAAAATATATAGATAAATATATAGTATAGGTATAAAACAGCATAAATCTTAGGATGCTTGACTTAAAACTTTTAATCAAACTTGGTATAGTCAAGATGACTGCCAATGTGCAGTAAAGTAAGTAGTAAGCAATTTGCATGGAAAAAAGTTGGTACACACAATAACATTATATTAATAAAAGTCAGACAGTCTCTTATGAGTCCAGGTCTTAGTGTTGAGTATTCCTGGACTCAAAAAATCATATGACTGTCTAATCAACCTTGGCATATTTTTTCCATTGCCTTGATGCTTTGTGGGACTGTTCTCCTTACTTTGCACCAAACTATGAGTAAGAGAGAAAACTGAATATGATATGATACAATGCCTCATTAAACGATTTTACCATGGAAGAGCTTCAGTAATACAGACTCACAGAAAACCTGCATTATGTCAGGTTTTTTTTCATTGAGTTAGTTAGCCCAACCCCCTCTTGTTCTAATGGGGGCACTCAAACCACTGCAACACACTTGTGTATTCAGAGTTGCAGGTGTCTATGGGTAGTGGTAGTTACTTACAAGTGACCCTCTGCTTGTTTGCCTCCTTATACCACTTATAATAACAATGAAATGCCACGTGCAGCATGTAGTTTTAAAATAATTGATCAACTGAACACATACCATTACTGATCTATTATTATTATTGTTTAAAGAGTAATAAAAATAGTACAACTGTTATGTACCAATCACGACAGAAAGCTTCTGTCCTCCAATAACCTTTTTTGTTGTCCCTCCCATATGTCTGAGTTTGCTGGCTCATCCTGTGTTGCTCAGTCTTTTCTTCTTTGGAATGAGCTTATAGTTTGTCTATTCCGATACAAATTTTAACTAAAAAGCACCTACATCCTATTTACTCTGCATCACCCAATGGTTCTGCTTCTTCTTCTCCGAAAGACATCCACTGCTGTACATAGGCCTCTCCCAAGTTTCAATGGTTGACTGGTAGAGATTTCCATAGGCATTAAGTCTGCCAATGCACCAAATGTGCATGATGTGTAAAAATAATAAATAAATAATATTTTGCAATAAGGGTTTTGATTTCTCAAGGTTCCAGTATATTCTAGTAATATTGTATTTGTTAATTTGGCTCACCAACAATTGAATAAACTGATTTAATAGCTGATATAATACACTGTAGACCTGGTGTAATAATTTCTTACAATAAAGCATGTAATGTGTTATTTGTTGAAAGATGTCAAATGCTTACAATATTAGGTGATTTTACCTTATCTTATAGATAATGTCTTACTTACTAAAACACAACAGAATTATGATTTTTAAACCATAGATATTGCAGTTGGAATTAAAGTAGACTTAAAAACTAAGATGTAATTACAGGATTTATAATTTGATCTGGTATTGTGTTACATAATCTAATAAATATTAAATACTGTATTGTATAATAATTTTGATTAATATAATTCCACTCTGATCTAAGGCTGATATTAATATAACTATGTATAGTAGAGATGTTATTGATTTCACTTTAACATCCCCAACTGCAGGTTCGCTTTTCACGAAGTGATTATGTATGGTTAAATTCCATTTGCATTCAGTCTTGATTTATTATAAATATGTAATATGAAGGTACTTATAAAAAATAAAATATGTTCACAATACTAAGTTATGCTTAGCGTGAGTCTAAGTAGCAACATGTAATATGCATCTGCATATTATAATAATGAAGGCTTTGTTACATCTTACACATGACTGCCTGATCCCATATTAGGGAGAGCTTGTGCCGTCGTAACTAGATGGCTGAATATATATTTCTAAATAAATACATATCCATACTGATATTATAAATGCTAAAGTGTTTCTGTTACTCTTTATGCTTAAACTGCTAAACCGATTTAGATGAAATTTAGAATAGAGATAATTCGAGGCCCAGGAAAGAACATAGGATAGTTTTATTCCAGAAATCATACTTTAAGGGGGTGAAAAGAGAGGTCGAAGTTTGTATGGGGAATCTGTAACCACCGAACCTACTCAGATGAAATGGCATGGAGATAGCTTGATTCTCGAGAAAGGACATAATAGGCTAGTGGTTACAAGGGCGGAGCCGCGGGCATAAGCCAGTTAAACATAAATTACACCCAGACAGCACAAATGATCATGCTACACATGATCACCTACCGGCGGGAATCAAACCACTTAGCAGACCAGCAAGCAACTTTTTTTTTTTTTTTTTTACCTTTTTCTTACACAAATGTTTAAAATAATATTCTCGAATAGGGATGGAATACGAAATTATTAATGACTTCAAATTTGTCAGAATGGTTTTAGTAACACTACTATTGCATTTTTTTGTAAAATAATAATTAACACTTTATTTTGTAAAAACCCAGTTTGAAAACCTATTGATGTCTTATTAGAAAAAAGGAATTGACAGTTGTTACTCAACTTACCTTAAAATAGTCAACCCTATTAAAAACCTGTTTTAGGTGGTTTCAAAAGTAATCTGTCTGCTTTGCCCTTATAGTGTGCAAATAATTTGGTAGATATAATAGTTTTCACAATGTGTCTTTCATTGACATTCAAAATAAAATATTTTTTGTTGGCAATAAGAATTCGAGTTTTATTTGGCTACGAAATACAGTTAATCCATCTATCTATCATTTAGTGCTAATATACTATACTATTGACCTAATTTCTACTTTTTGCTGTCCAGTGCCAACTCTCATTTCATACATAACTAGCATTTAGTTACTTAGTTCTTTACTTTAGAATATGTGAATTGATTCACGTTTCCTTTCAGAACAGTACAGTAAGTTTCTGCAGAAAAGATATTCTATTTCTTTCAACATACAACAGACAGTGTGTATGCAAAGTTTAGTGATAAAATGGTAAAACTCCTGAATTCACATAATATAGTAATAGCTAGAATTTATCCAATTACATATAAAGTATCAATTTTTTTCATTGAAAACATTGTAACCATTATTATTACTTTAGTACTGAACTTATTTTCTAGTGCATTTTTCTAGTAAAACTCCTAATATTATAAAACCTTTGAGAGTTTGTTTTTTTTTTTTCATAGTTGAACGCGCTAATCTCAGGAACTACTTGTTAGAATTGAAAAAATCTCTTAGTATTGGATAGCCCATTTATAGAGGAAGGCTAAAAGCCATTATAACATCACGCTACCGGAAAAGTTATTCCTTTTGAGAAATTCAGACGAAATTGCGCCGGTCAGCGGGCAGTTAAATAAATCATCAATATCTAATAAATTGTAATAGTTTTAAATACAAACATGTTTTGTATAATTACGCTAAAATATAATATTTATTTAATATAGGAAACGGTTTTTAACCTTTTGTTATAATATTATCAGTAATTTGATAAGAAACCTTATTGTGTTTCATTGGGCGTAATTTTTGTCATTATTTGTTGATTTGTGAGTCTTAATTTAAAAGTACGTGATAATTGTTGGGCCTCGTTATGTCAAAACACCACTCAAACTCAATGTACCAAGCCCACTATAAAGAAAGGAAAATCTCAAACACCGCAATTTTAGTCTTATCTCGATATACAAACTGCACTAGAAACTTTTTATAATCTATACATATAAAATTACTTGCCCTGATTGACTGATTCGTTAATGAATGGTGCTACTAACTAGAAATTTTGGCAGCTGATAATTTTTATGTTGTAAGCAGGTGCTTATTGCCAGAAATCCTTTCTTAGTACCCACTATTTTTTTTGGAGATTTCACCCCTAAAGGGGGATAAAATAAGGTATAAACAGTTCTATGGAAGTTTGTCGTTTTTAAATTTAAAGGGATTACAAATTTACTTTTGTAGTTCATACAATTTTTTTGTCACTTAGGTAAGGATATAGCTAGGTCCTGTGTCATTGACTAACGAGGTTTTCAGGAAAATAGATCCCATCAAATATAACATAATAAAGAAACATATCCCGCCAGAGTCACGTTTGTTTGTTCAATGGAATTTTACACACTGGTCTTCATGATCATCATCAACAGCCTTTAATAGTCCACTACTGGGCGCATAGGCCTCTCCTTAGAAAGGAGATTTTATCCTACTATACTACTCTGGCCAGGCGGGATGGTATAGGGTTTGTGTCAAGTTTTCCTTCTCTTTGCAATGTTGTTGTCCGTCCAATCCGTATTCTTAATCCGTCACCACACGGACGCACTGGTCAATCCTATATTATTATAATTTATTAGGTGTCCGTCGAGATCCCGTGTGCCTGTTTTTAAATACGATTAAATCCATCTGTTTGCCAAATATCTTCCAAACGGTACAGCAGTTACGGTGTCATAGAATATGATACATCTTCTAAAACCTTTACATTTAGAACGTTAAATTAGGATACAGATCTTCCCACGACTCGTATATACAAAAAACAATGGAGTAATAACGTACATAATTATTAAGGTAATAGGCTCACATATCAGCTTACTACGGTTAACCAACATTCCCGCATCTTACACCGCGGATAACAACAACAACAACCGTGGGTTGGCAACACCGCGCGGCATTTACGCCGCGCGGTGTAAATGCCGCGCGGCGTTACCCACGGTTGTTGTTGTATCTTGCTTGACTATAATCAATCTCTGTGCCTAATTTTATCCAGATCCGTTCAGCTGTTTTTGCGTCAAAGAGTAACAAACAGCCATACATCTATACAAACTTTCGCCTTTATAATATAAGCGGGATATATATATATATATATAGTTAGTAAAAAAAAAACACTTTATTCTTAATTGGTGACAGATCCACTTTATTCTCCGCACCTTAACGTTAGAACATTGTAAAGAAAAACTCAAATTATACCCTAAAGTCAAAATTACACATTTAACCCAGACTCTAGCCTACCCTACTCTAGAACTTTCTAAAATTAAAATACTTGACATCTTATATGTGACCATTGTTTATCGTAACTAATAATGTATTTGTGTATTATTTGCTAAATCGTCATAATTTTATGATGACATACTTAATAACTACTTACACAACAGTCGTAAACGTAGTCGTAAAAACATTCATTTGGATAAAATACTATATTTTTGGAATATTTAAAATTCACCTGCAAATAAATTTTGTTGGAATTAAGTTTATTTACGAAGTATTCGGCATGTGTTATAATTATAATCATTATATATAAATTTACGAATATACTGTAAGTATTCCTGTTAACAACACACGAAATACGGATATCAAAATCATTGTACATGAAAAATTATTAAATAGAAAAAATAATAAAAATGTACCAGTCTAAAAAACTTATTCATAAACTGAAAGGCGAAATTCGCTCAATTTTTATATGTAGTCAGTTAAAGTGGCATTAATTAGGCTACCGACGTTTGAAATGGAAGGAAATACATAATTAAAATTATCCTGTTTTGCAATAATTCCGGAAGGATAGCGATGAGTGGGGTCTACAAATGCGTTTTCTTTCAACTGAGAAGACTTATCATGATAATAGGTTTATATTTTTAAGAAAAATTCCTTGTATTTTTACTCTCAATATTTCCCAGGAATTTATCGCAATATCTTTTCTTGGATATTTACAGTTATATTATGTCCAAGCATATAAGTCCCAGTTTAAAAAAATACATATTAATTATGTGTGTCTCAGGAAACCCAACAGCTGAACATAAGACCGATGTGATTTCTATGAGGACATTATTTACTTAGTACTTTATTTCCCTTTTATAATTTACAGGACCCCGCTGGGCGTCATGGAACCTAGGTATATTTTTATGCATCAGGTGTGCTGGCATACACCGTAACTTGGGGGTCCACATTTCTAAGGTGAAGAGTGTCAATCTTGATTCCTGGACACCCGAACAAGTCGTAAGTACTAGATTCACCAATTGTCGCTCTTTGATACTATCGTTACCAGATCCTGTTGTATGTGAGCCATTGTGAAGAATAGTGACGATTACAATTAGTAAAGCGAAAGTAAGAAAAAAAGGAAGTTGCCTAGCTGATGAAATTATAAACATACATATAATATATTCTTCCGCTTTAATGCCTGCCGGGGTAGGCGCCAACGATCCTGGTATTACACCTCTTTCACATTCATCAGATCTTTTCATTCATGCTCAGCTATAAAATTTGTCCATTTATCTTCACACCGTAATAGAAACACTGCGTCAACGTAGAAACAAAACTTCCTCATCTTCTACATATTTCTGTTCTATTTTAAGATTATAGTTCAAGTAATAATTTAGAAAGCCAATCATCAATATATTTCGGCCCTTTTTTTATTAATTTGGAGTCGTGTGAAATGTGTGTTGTGAAAAGTTTTTTCTTTTAGCTCGGAGATGCCTGTGTATGTACGTCCTGTAATTAAAGAGATCACTTGAACAGACATCAATTAACCATATAGACAATCAAATTCCTATTTAAAAATATCCCGTAAATTTTCAGGTTTCCCTCCAACAAATGGGCAACTCTCGCGCCCGAGCAGTCTATGAAGCGAACTTGCCAGACTCATTCCGAAGGCCGCAAAATGACTCTTCTCTAGAAGCATTTATTAGGGCCAAGTATGAGCAGAAAAAATACATCGCCAAGGAATGGGTGCCACCTCCAGCACCGAAGGTTAACTGGTACGTAAACAACACATATCAATTGATATCTGGGCAATTAATGGAGTCGATGTATAAGTCCACTTGGTATTTTTTTTTTTTTTTGTTGAATTTCATATTGCATCCCTTATCGGTGCTGTGTTTCTATCAAACTTTAATCCGACCAAACGGGAAGAATACCTGAGCTTTGTGAACCTCTTACGAAGTCTCTTAAGTAATGATGTGCTTCACATCGGTATAAAATCTTTTTGATATACAACAAAGTCCAGAGTTGACCTTTCCTCGTAAACTCATATAACAACCTATTCAGTAAATATATAAAATATTGTTACAGGGATAAAGAAATTGATGAAGAACTAGAAAAACAAAAAAGGAAAAAGAAGGCCACCAGTTCTGGGCTAGGGCCCCTCCCAGCTCCGATTAGCGGTGACAAAAAATATAACGTAAGTTATTTTAATAGTTTATACTTACTTTTTCTCGTGCTACACAAAGTCATACACAATGACTAAGTATTTGACATTGATAATATTATGAACACTCTGTGAGTGTTTTCATTTTTCTGACACTCATTTCTCACCAACAAAACAATTAACTATGCCATATGATCTTTATTAATAACTAGCTATACCATCACGTGCCATGCTTTGCTGTGGCACATTATGGTTGCATTGATGAGAAATAGGGAACTTCTTCGAAGCGGTATATCGTGTCAAAATTTGAGTTCAATTGGTGCAGAACTTTTGGAGTTTTTGAAGCGTACAAAAACCAACTTAACATTTTTAAATATACTCGTAGATTACTCTTAGAGCGTTGAACCAGATGGGTATACCACTACACGCTTACCTCACAGCCAAGATAGTATGAGCTCCGATCTAAAACATTATATTAAAACTAGTGTGTAACGACGTTACCTGTTAGCCAATAAAAATACCGTACATTTCGCGATCAGATACTTCAAATATACATAGGATATATATAACTTTTCATTTATTAGTAATATTTCGTTCGAATATTATTAAATAATGTATTAAATTAACAATTGACCAAAGATAAATACCCATTAACAAGTGTTGCCATCTTTGAAATCAGCGATGTATGCTAGGGCAATATTTCAAGTTGAGTGTGCTTATTAATTTCTATCTTGCAATTCACTTTGTTAATGCATTTAATATATTCTATGTATCACACAAGTTATTTATTGATAGGTTACCGTTTACGTAATATATTTAATTACTAGCTTTTGCCTGCGTCATTCGCGTGGAATTTGAAAAGTGCTGCCTTAGTGGTGTGGTACAGTAGTGATGGATTCACACATCACATCAACAGCCTTTAACAGTCCGCTGTTGGACATAGGCCTATCCTTAGAAAGGAGGTTTTGGCCTACTATACCACGCTGGCCAGACGGGTTGGTATAGGGGTTGTGTCCTGTTTTCCTTCTTTTTGCAGTGCTGTTGTACTGCATAGTTAGCTCCCTTAGTCGGCTCTTACGACACCAACGGGATGAATTGGGGAAGTGACACTTAGTATTCTTAATCCTGATGAATTAAGAATACTGAGTGTCAAGATATTTATATAGATATATCTTATCTTATAAGAAATCCTAAACATTGATACTAAGTATCGAAAGAAATAATCATCGAATCGATATATCAAGCTTTAGACTGTTTACGTTTTTTGAGTAAAACTGATAGATATCCCTGTTTGAGACTGTACTTGTGTGCGTATATTTAGTGTTTAATTATTTTATAGTGTGCGTGCATAACAACTTAATTTAAAAGTGCATTAGTGTTTACGTTGTATTTTGTGTGCTTGCCCCGTCCCCCGCTAAAAACGGCAGAAAGATTTGTAACGGAGGACAGCGTGCGTCCACTACGTTTGGTTTAATGCTCTAAGAGATTACTTATTCTTGATTTTCGATATTAAATTAATGGCATGCTTTGTATGTATAGTCACTAGGACTTACTAATATTATAGTTACACATAATGCATTGTGTAGCTATATATAATAAAAAATACCAAAGTGAAAGGTATTTTTGATATTTTGTGTACATCCTTTGTTAGAGATCCTTAATTAAAGAGATATGTTTAAGAAAAGTTGTAAAAGTAGTGTATTTATCAGTTTCCAAAGAGATATGTTCTCTTTTCATTTAGTGGTAGAAGATTATGTATGTTTTGCTTTTAAGGGTTTTGTTTTCTTCAGTTCAGAGCATTTTCAAATTAATTGTTTTTATGTAATGTTAATCTGAAATCGTACACAATATTTTTAACATAAAACGATGTAATAAATTACATATTCTATTTGTATTCTCAAATATTGAAAGCGGCAGCACGTAACTTATCGTAAACTCTATGGATGATGACAATTGAGGGGATAGCCTATATAAGCACTAATAAGAGCACATATTTTTACAGAAGTCGGATGTCATACCCAGTTTGCCGAAGCCGAAATCTTCGGTTAGTCCCAAATTGGGCAGATCAACTCCACCTACCACTCAACCAGAACCAAGTAAGACATCCAATGGCTCAGCAGACCTCCTTGGTCTAGACACAGGTAAACCAGACCAGAAGTCAGCCAACGACGACATTTTCTCCAGCTTCTTCTCTGCACCACAGGAAAAGCTACCCGAAGTAAAACCCGAAGAATTAAAGCCAGATTTAAAGACTGAAGAAGAAAACTTCTTTAAACAGGCAGCCCCAACGGAGAAGGAAAAGTCAAAATTAACAAAAGACAGTATATTGGCATTATACAGTCAAACGCCATCAACTAATTTAGTAAACCAATTCAATCCAGTCCAGCCGGTTCAGCCAGTTCAACCTGTGTCCTACCCACCTTTCGGAAATGTATTTCAGCAACAGAACTTTAGCAGTATACCTGTACAGAATGGAATGCAGCCATTTAATCAATTCCAGCAGATGAACCAATTTCAGCAGCCATTCGTTAGTCAGGTTCAACAACCAATACAGAATCAACCGTTCCAAAATACTCAGTTCTTCAACCAACCCCAACAGCCATTGTCACAACAGTTCAACAGTCTCACCTTAGGCCAGAGTTTCCCTAACGCATTTGCGCAACCGAACACAAATGTTACCAGCAACACCACATGGCAGTAAATTTTGCTAGTAACAAATTGGTTGTATTAGATTTTTTTTTATTTAACAGATGTATTGGAGACAGCTTGTATGGGCAATGTAGTGATATTTTTAAAATGATATTCAGATATTTCTACAAGTAAAAAATACAACCATTTTTTTAACATTACATTTTTTATAAGAAATCTTAAATTTCAACTGGTGAAGAAATGGGGAATACATCTGCATGAAAAGCACTTAAAAAGGTTCTTTTTGGTCATCATTAATAAATATTTTATCCTAGAGGTTCAATAACATATATACATACACAGCCCCGGATCTACTATTTTTGAACCGAGGCAGAAACTTGATAGTGGCGTCCCTCTCTCCCTAGCGTTTGAGATAAATTACCCAAACAACTCACAAATATGTTCTCTTGTAGTGTTGGCCTGTGTGACGCCTTTTTTTACAAGTCGACGGTGAGCCAACCAGGCTTCCGTATGCTAGGCGCTCTGTGGAGCAAGTTTTTTATTTTTAATCATACTATATTATGATTTTGGCGCCCCCTCAAACTGTCGCCCGGGGAAGGGCGCCCCGGTTTGTCCCCCTTGCCCCTCTCCCAGATTCGGGGCTGTACATACATCCACTATGATATTCCACTATTAAGCTGGTATCATATTCTTTTAGTACTTAAATGACCCTGGTTTGTTGTAGATTTTCTAAGGAGAATATCATAATTTTGAACCATATGTTGATGTATTCTTTACAAATTGGAACTAAGAGTAAGAATACTCTACTAGTTTCGGTAGTATCTTGTCATCTTAAGGAGCTCGGCAGCTCGCAGCTCTTATTACGCGTATTATTTCGTATTTGGTCATGGGAAAAAGCAAAATATAAATAAATAATTTGAACTGTTGAATATTTAAACTTATTCGTATTTAATTTCGCAAATTAACGCTAAAGTTGATTTAAATAAGTGTTAAAATATTTTAATTTTCACATCAGTTATTCATTATTTTAAAAATTAAATTAAAAATATGGACGAGCGCATCCTTAAGAATGACAATAAAACACAATGACCATAGACCAATTTCTGCCGTATTTTTTTTAAAATTAATCAATCAAAATACTTGTACGAAAGTATCTGTTAGTACACTACATTACATACAGGCGTAATGCATCTGTGCGGATGATATATCTTGTAGGTAAGACAGTTAGTTTGAGCAACAGCTCAGTCGCGAGTTAAACAATTTGTTCCTATATGGTAATGCTCAGATTATTCAAAAACTGCTTAATATACTTCAATCTTAGAACAGATGATGTTTGGAGGCAGGCAGGCATTTAATATGGTTGATTCCTATGTAAATAAATCATTTTGCTGATTCTTGAATGTAATATCTTGTAGTAACGTAAATCACGAATTCATCAACATTAAAAGTAAATAATTTCACAATAGCTAGGTATGCCATCAAGCCTTAGTATTTTAAATACAAATATGTATTGCGTCTATCGTTTTGACGTTTAACAAAAAATATAATTTTCCTAGACAGTCGCCTAACCCATTCTACTCTTTGCATTTTAACAACATTGTGATGATGATCGTGACTGCGTCCACACATGACTGATCTAAGCGCGTGGGGGTCTCTCAAAACTCTTAAACAAGTGGTGAATACTAAATGGACTAAAGTACTTACTAAACATACATGTGTCAAATGTATGTTGAGAAAGAGGTTTGCTTAATTCTTGATGCGTAATTTCTACTTGTTTATTACACTATATTCTATGTACATTTCAGTATTTGTATTGAAATAATTAAGTAGTAATTTTTTTAGTCTGTCAACTTATAAGTTTAGACTCTTTATTTACGGCATATTTGCCGCCAAATAATTGTGTATATTGACGTAGGTACATAATTAATAAAGTCATTTTTTTAACCAATCACAGAACTAGGTTGCATGCACATATCAGTAAATTAGGTTCAATTGACCACAGTTTAACCTAATTTACTGACCTAATGGTGTGTTTGCGGGGCCAAACGTTCTTCAGGTATGTCAGACTCGAATCCACATAATGTTCATTGGACCAGGGACTCTAAGAAAAGCCCTGTAAACCCCGACAAATTTGACCGCCAGTTAAGTAAAGAAAAACAGTGCTTTTTACATCTCTTGCATTGAAATATGACACTTCAGAAGTCATAAATATGCCGGCATAATTTGACTTCTTTTAGCAGCTTTAATTATTTCAATAGAAATACTGTAAATGAAAATATATCAGGCGCAGTTTATTAAATAGAGCTATACCAATAACAATAAAATAATTATTATATTTTAGGAAATATACATACATAAACATGAACTCAAATTGAAAAAGTACGTTGTATGACTAGAGCTTAAAATTGAGCTATTTCTTAGATATTTGCAATAAAAAATTATCTAATGGTAATGATTATATTTTTTCTATTAATTAATTATATGATTTAATTTATGTGTGTTCTAAAATTTATTACACGCTAACAAATTGATTAATAATTTTGCACTTTATAACATATAGTTCGGTCCTTTCTATAATCTAATGTTTATGCACAGATAACAATAATTTATGAATGTGTTAACGATTTTTATTCGTCGTAATTTTGTGTTATTTTTATGTTCAGCAGACGTTCCGAATGATTCCATTAAACCGAATGATCTACTAGGTATATTTTTTTACTATATTTTTGATGTTTTAAAGTTATACGTAAATTTAAAAATTTATTGACTAAGAATTCGGAACGTTTGCTATTTATACATTGATGCGCGTTGGTTTTGTATATTTTTTATTTATATAGAAATGTTTAATAAAGCCGAAAATAAACATCTCAAAATTGTAGAGTTTCTACATTATCAATATTTACAACTAAGAATAAATACTTTTTACTTTCCACTTTTAGATTATTTTTTGGTTATTTTTTGGCATTATTCGAGACCATTTATAGGGGCACATGTTGATCAATAGGGACGACGAAATAGACAGACGATTAATGGTCTCTTTGATATTTATCAGTATTAATGTTTAATTTTTATTCTTTGGTCGTAAGGCATTCATTTCAGACAAGTTGTTACATACCCGCAGTAATACTTTTGTCAATTTATTAAAATTGTTTCCGAATGAATAATGTATAAAATCACGATCACTTTAAAATACATTAAAGTGCAAAGAACACTAATTGCTGTGTGTTTTTTACCATGAGATATATAAACATGAAATTTTTATTTCCCTATTCACAAATGAAACTTGCTGTACGTTGCCTTATTAAAGACCAAAGCTTAGGGTGCAATTTTATGATATTTAACATCAATAAAACTGAAACGTGAAAAAAATATCTATTGTACAAAGTAAATTAAGAAACGATCGTTTTATTGTAGACAATCTCTATCACCTATAGTTAATTGTAAAAAAAGATTGAACATAAACTGAAGAACAATCTGGTACGAATTATGTACATGGGTCAAGCAATATTATTTTATTCAATGGAACTTACAATTCTGTCCAGAACTTACTGCCCTAAATAGTATGGGTAAGTTATCTAAAACTGTAATAAGTTTATAAGAAATATCAAAACATAGTCTACAAATTAATTTTACATGTTAAGATTATGAGAAGACACAATTATTGCCCTTAACGGCGGTTTGGAGATCCTAGGGCTGGTCGACTCGTTCTATATAAAATGATGTATAATCATAGTTATCTAGAAATACGACAATATTCTTGTTCGCACAAGAACAATGTAGCAAAGTTGTTTGTGATAAATTATTTTAAAATCTTAAATGGTATTAAAACAAACTAATTCAATTCAAGTGTTACTGAATTCATAATTTTGCATTTTTTTGTCATTTTGTGGTTCATTCATAGGGTTTCGTCAAACTATTGCAATTTTAGAGGTAATTATTAAATATATACGGCTACCCGACTTGTTTCGGAGTCGCCAGGGGCCCTCGTTCAAGAAGTGAAGCATCCTGCCTCAAAGGGTCACTACGATGGGACGTAGTTAAACCGTAAATATTTAATAAATATGAATAAAACCCACAAAAGTTTTTATTCTAGTTTGAAAGGTAATTGCATTTATGTAGCATCCATAAACTGACATCCATGATAGTGGGCTGCGAACAAAATGTATTGTACATTAACATTTGGTCTTTTATTGTGATGATGCTGTGAAAACTATTTCAGTGCGATATGACTAAAACTTATACACCCAAAGTATATTTTTGCTGTATATCGCCTGTAATGTTAAATATAAGGTAGTATATATAATTGCATACGTTACCTTAAATATTGATATCGTATGGAAATGAGAATCAAAGCTGTATTTGCGTCACAAATTCACTCAAACAGACAGAAAACGGAACGACATTCGATGTTTCTATCTTTTCAAATGTCCGAACTGTTCATAAAATTGTGACGTCAGTCAGGGTTTTTTAGAATACCTATTATCCGTATATTTTGGTCATTTTAATAAGCACTTTTGATGTATTTCGTTGAAATGTAAAATGTGATTCTTTAAAGCGTATAACACTCGGAGCGGTGGTGCACAGTAGTACGTTACGGTCACCAGTACTTATATATATTTATCATAGACATTGGTATGGAGTAATTTATTTTGGAAAGCCGACCAGTGATCTGGTAACTGGCATTAAGAACGTAAAATGTGTTCGGATCAGACGGTGACCACGCTGTCGACGCTGCTGCACCTCTCCGTGTCTACGCCTAAGTGAGTAATATTTAATATAGTTAAAAGCGGGCCATTAGTCATATTGGCTTAATGTAGCCCTGATTGAGCCTGTATTTCGTTTACATAAATAAATAAAATACCAACATAAACTTTTTTTCATTACCGATCCACAACTAACCACCGCGATTTCGGGAACGAAGGAGATTCGCAGTTAAACCTAATTCTTAAGCACATTAATTTGCTACAATGAAAAAGGGGCCATTTACAGATGGCCAGCATTGAGTTCTGCTTCATTAAGAAAACCCATCACCATATATAAGCTTCATTTTCG